GGGCATGAAATATAGTTCATCTTGAATTAACTGGGGAGTCACAGTAATCAACCAGCCTCCCTCACCTTGAAGGGAGCCCTGAGCCACACCTAGAACCTGTCTCAGGCATCCTCAAGGCTACCGAGGTCAGAGGAATCATTTCCTACTGGGAAGGTCTGGAGCCACTGGTGAGCACAAGGATTGGAAACTGGGTGTGGAGGACTCAGGGCCCAGGAGCCCCTCGCAAAGTTGGAAGATGCAGACAGAAACCCTGTCCCCTGCTGGCTTAGGGTGATGCAGGCTGTCCCTGGGGAGAGCTGTCTTGGCTGTGCTGCTCATGTTGGAAGGACCATGCCGATGCACTCTGTTCATGAGGGTCTACGGTCCCCAGGAGTCCCATCAGTGGGACGAAGTGTGAGCAGATAAAGCTTCAGGGTGCCCAGGACGTAAAAAACAAAAACAAAAACAAACCGAAAACAAACAAACAACAAACAAACAAACAAACAAAAACAGTGAGGTATAGCTTTCCTGACACAAGAGAAGTCATTTTAGTCCCCAGCTATATTCTGGGATCGCTGTCCTAGTGTCTCTGTGTTCCCAGCACACATCTTGCAGATCTACCTAAGATTTAAAAAGAAATACAAAACAAACAAACAACACAAAACCCAATCAGTACTTGAGGATTTTAACAGGACAAAGAGAATGGGGACCTGACAGTCTCTACCAGGCCAGGAGAGATCCTGACCACATCAGAGAACACAAATAAGTGCTGAACCCCCCAGGGCTGATTCAAAGGAAGCCAGGCCCTGCACTCCTTACCCCAGATGAGGACCATAACCCTTTCTGGTTTACACTGGCTCTGGAGCAGGACCTCAGCGCCTTCCCCCTGTGGGACAGTGACCTCTGCTTCACTCCTGAACAAAAGAAACTATTTGGGCAGCCCCAGGTAGCTCAGCTGTGTACCACTGCCTGCAGCCTGGGGCATGATCCTGGAACCCAGGATGGAGTCCCAAGTCGGGTCCCTGCATGGAGCCTGCTTCTCCCTCTCCCTGTGTCTCTGCCTCTCTCTGTCTCTCTCTCTGTCTCTCTCTCTGTCTCTCTGTGTGTGTCTCATGAATAAATAAACAAAATCTTTTAAAAAAAGGAAAGAAACTATTTAACTTTTCTCCATACCTGATCCCTGCAAAACTCAATATCTGTCATTGAGCACTCTTATACTTTTATGACAATATATTTATTAGCACAAGGTTTTAAGATTCTGTTTTTTATAAGAAGATATAACTGGAAACATTGGTTATATTACCAAGATGTTTACTACAATGTCATACTGGTTTATATGTATAAATTTTCATATATATATATATATACATATATATATATATTATTGGAGTTCGAATTGCCAATATATACTATACCACCCAGTGCTCATCCCATCAAGTTCCCCCCCACATGCCCATCACCCAGTCACCCCATCACCCTTCCACCGCCCCTTAGGGGAAAAGGAGAGAAAATGTGTGGAATAAATTAGAGAGGGTGACAAAATATGAGAGACTCCTAACTCTAGGAAATGAACAAGGGGTAGAATGTCATATTTGAATGAGACATATGCATCTGTATACATCGATGCACACATAATCAAATATGACCTGTCAGATTTAGGGAAGTAGCATTGACTTCATGGATCCAGTATAACCTCTTGGAAATATCATCCTACAACCTTCTTACAGAGTTTCCAACAGCTTTATCAGGCTAGTCAGGAGGTCATGTCCTGGCAGGTGCAGGATTCTTGGGATATTTGGGTACCTCAAGAACAGAAAATGCACCCAAGTGTATACGTGTTTCAGGCTAAGTCTGATGACAAGTTTGGCACAAGTTTTGGCTTCACTTCTATACTGGAGGAGCTGTTAAACATTTCATCCAGAGGTTTTTCACAAAAGTTGCAGCAAATTACATTTTAACAAGAGCCTATATGTTCAAGTGCCATACTTGCTGCAACTATATTTAGTAGAAATGAGGGTGTTTGTTGAGAAAACGTATATTTCAATGACACATCTGAGTAAATACTTGATGCGATTACTGTTCATTATAACCTGAACTTGATCCTGATTTTCTCTAGCTTCCTAAAATCTATGGCTACAAGTCTGAAAACTAGCATGTTGACTTTTCTCCCACCTTTGGAAGTGCATTCAAACTGCCCTGAGGTCCTGAAAGCTAACTGCAAATCCAATGATACAACCTTCAGAGAAGTCACCACAGTCGCTCATGCAGAGGTGGTCTTCATGCCAGTGGCTCTCTGGGACAGAGATCACCAGACACATTTGAAGTACAAACCAGGAAAGTCTGTTAGATGGTCACAGCCTTCTGTCACTCTACCTGAAGACGACATGAGCTTGACATCAAGAAATCTTCTCCACTGGTTACCCTCAGAACTCAGAAACTACCTACAATTTCATTCGATCATTTACCATCCTTTTTTCCCCCATACAACTGCCTCTTGTTTAATACCTGATTTCTTGAACCACAAGCCTGACTTTGAGAATGCACCTCCATCAACCCCTCCTGAAATGGGTTTAAATAAACTTGCCATTGTCAGGAGAGGGTCAACAAAACTGAACAATCTGCTAGCACAAGTTTTAACACATGTATCTTTGGGGAAATTTCAGAGAAGGGAGGGAACTGGCTAATCATAGGCTGCCCCAGATTGGACCCCATTGGCATGAACGTTAGTTTCACTTTAAACAAATGAAACTCAGCAGATTTAGGAAAAGCTTTTTAATCCTCCAAAACTGCCAGCTTGTACCAGGAAGAGAGCTATGACCAGGATCCCTCTTTACCTAAGACATGTGTCTCTATAGCACGACAACCTCTCTTTTCCAAACAAATCCTCTCCCCTTCCCTCTAATGCACTTTCTCCTCTTTGGTCATCAGACTGATGCCCCTCTCCTTCACTCACATATGTGTCATGGTGCCTGACTGTCTTTGGAATTCTCCACGTCTGTGTGGATACCCACTATGTAGGCTATGAAGTTTGATTTTCTTCTGTTAAACTGCCAAATTAGATTTATTAATTCTTTATTAATTCCTTTTTAAATAATAAATTTATATTTTATTGGTGTTCAATTTACCAACATACAGAATAACACCCAGTGCTCACCCCGTCAAGTGCCCCCCTCAGTGCCTGTCACCCATTCACCCCCACCCCCCGCCCTCCTCCCCTTCCATCACCCCTAGTTCGTTTCCCAGAGTTAGGAGTCTTTATGTTATGTCTCCCTTTCTGATATTTCCCACACATTTCTTCTCCCTTCCCTTATATTCCCTTTCACTATTATTTATATTCCCCAAATGAATGAGAACTTATGATGTTTGTCCTTCTCTGATTGACTTACTTCACTCAGCATAATACCCTCCAGTTCCATCCACGTTGAAGCAAATGGTGGGTATTTTATTTTTTAAAAGATTTTATTTATTTATTCACAGAGACAGAGACAGAAACAGAGAGAGAGAGAGACGCAGAGACACAGGCAGAGAGAGAAGCAGGCTCCATGCAGGGAGCCCGACGTGGGTCTCAATGCTTGGTCTTGGTCTCCAGGATCACGCCCTGCCCTGCAGGCAGCACTAAACCGCTACACCACTGGGGCTGCCCTGCACTGAGGTTTTAAATGCCGCTTCTATCATTATTCTCCATGCAGTCTGCACAGATCTGTGAACAATATACTCGTAATTCCAACTGCGTCTTCACAGTGACATCATCATTGAGTCTTAGCCAATGCACATTGAATAGATTTTCTTTAAAAGAACATTCATCCAATTTATGTGCACATTTGATCTAGGGGATGACCAATACGCAATCTCTTCCTCTGGATTCTTGGCAGAAATTCTCCAGCTGTCACATCTTCCTGCTAAAACACCCTAGCACGTCTGCCCCTTGTGCTCTGAGGTCAGTGGCACACACACAACCAAATGTGGCAAGGCTCCTGGGGACCTGTGTCCATGTGGGGGAGGACAGATCCTAGGAGGGAGTCACTTCCCACAGGGTGGGGAGAACTAAAGTTTAAAACAGGTGAAAACAGTGAAAGATGGCAACGATGTTCAGTGTGTAACCTTTCCAGGAAAGAGCATGAGGGCTTCCACACACAACCTGGAGAATCCACTCCCTGGGTCTTCAGTATTTCAGGAAACTCAGAGAAGGAGAGGGCTGCAATCAGGGTCATCATATCGGAGGAAGGTTTCAGCATCCTGCGCAGAAGAGGCCACTTGTACATGGGAACCCTTCACTCCTCTGGATGTGACAGTGATGTCAGACAAATTGGTGTAGCGACACCACCTCAGTCCTCAGTGGCCCATCAAAATCTAAGGGATCCGTGGCAGAGAGAAAGAAAGAGAGAGAGAGAGACAGAGAGACAGAGAGAGACAGAGAAAGAGAGAGAGAGACATAGGCAGAGGGAGAAGCAGGCTCCGTGCACAGAGCCGGATGGGGGCCTTGATCCCAGGACTCCAGGATCATGCCCTGAGCCAAAGAGAGACACTTAACCACTGAGCCACCCAGGAGTCCCTCACACCGAGAAATGAGAGTGTAGCCTAAAATCTATGCCACAGTCATGGGAGACCACATGCGGGGAGACTTGTCCAGATCATAGGAGGAGAGTGGACAGAGCTCTGGAGACAGGACCTGTGTCCTATGGGCAACTGATCCCCATGTCATGCAGGGTGAGGTGGTGTCAGGATGCCAGAAGGCGATTGAGGCATATTTATGAGGGGTCAGGCTGGATCAGAGCTGGGAACACCACCTGGCACTGACTGTGGCCTCTGCTCAGGGCTCACAGTGGGGACCTCCCAAACCACACCCTAGCCCGAAACAGCCCCTCCCCTACTGACCCCCAGACATTCTCAGGCAAAGGGACCTGACCCAGGACCAGGGAGGGGTCAGAGAGCTGGGGTCTCATTTGCATGGGAGGGCCCCTCCCTCTCTCAGAGGATGAAGAGGGGAAGGGAGAGATGAGGGGAGGCTCTGCTCAGCTGAGGGGCCACTGAAGACAGGATCCGTGATGACCTCCACCATGGGCTGGTCCCCTCTCCTCCTGACCCTCCTCGCTCACTGCACAGGTGACTGGATGTGGGACAGGGGGAGGGGTCCTGGGAAGACATGTGGGATCCAGACTCCAGCATCACCCTGTCTATTTCTGTCTTTCTTGCAGGTTCCTGGGCCCAGTCTGTGCTGACTCAGCCGGCCTCAGTGTCTGGGTCCCTGGGCGAGAGGGTCACCATCTCCTGCACTGGAAGCAGCTCCAACATCGGTGGATATTATGTGAGCTGGTACCAACAGCTCCCTGGAACAGGTCCCAGAACCGTCATCTATAGTAGTAGTAACCGACCCTCAGGCGTCCCTGATCGATTCTCTGGCTCCAAATCAGGCAGCACAGCCACCCTGACCATCTCTGGGCTCCAGGCTGAGGACGAGGCTGATTATTACTGCTCTACGTGGGAGAGTAGTCTCAGTGCTGGCACAGTGCTCCATGCCTGTGAGGAAGTGAGACAAAAACCCATTTACCCATCTGCAATGTGAGCGAGCGCCCCAGCAGCTGCCTGCTTAGGCTCCCGCTGGGATTCTGCTCATTCTTCAGTTGATGCCCTGAGCCCAGGTGCATCTTGGGAACCTCCTGGGAATAGCACTTGCTTCATCATCTCTGACCTCAGAGTCACTCAGAGTAGCCCATTATACACAGAGGGTGTCAAAGGAAAGAGAAAGTTTTGTCCTCGTGTTCAGGGACAGGTTCTTTTAGGCTACTGAACATTCACTTGTCATCTGCTGTTTTCTCAGTAAATGAAATACTCTTAGGTCGCGAAGCTATCATGGTCCTTCGGCCCCATCCCTGTTCTGCTGATGCACATGTCAGCTCTTTTTGCAGCTGGGATCATTATTGCCTTAGCTTCAACCAGATGATGAGTTCTTCTTATTTGATGTTTGAATGAAACACATAAATCAATGCACACTCAGAAATATAAAAGGTAAAAAATAAAGCTTTCTCAAGAAAATCCCCACGTGAAACTTTATGGAAACTTTATTCATAATCAATACAATTCAAAAAATAAAAAATCTGCACACTTTGTTTATACCAGATTTTTATAAAATGACCAGATTTGAAGTAACGAAGTTTTACTCCAACCTGATGTATAGTCGTAGCGGGTGATATTAGTCAACATTTAAAGAAATAAGTTCTTAAGTTCAAAAGCATGCATGAATATTAACTGCACATTTCTTCAGGATGAATAACATAAATGGCTAAATTCCACATCATGGGAATTTCATTGTATTTTGGAAAAGGCGGGAATCTAGAGGTGTAAGGAGGCCAGGAATTGACAGCAGGTGGAGGAAGGAGGAGGGTGAGCGTGTGAGGCAACTGTATTCCTGGTGATGTCACTCTCCTATAGGGTACTGTGACAGTGGCCACACCACACTGCTTTGTGGTCACATCTCAGTAAACTGTACTCCAGACCATAGCACCTTCGTGTAAGCAGAGAATGTCATCTAGGAGTCTGGGGTCCATGACAGAGCTCACAGGGGAATATCATCCTATCCACTTTCCCAAGGAGGTGTGACCCCTTGTCCCCAAAGGGAGAGGACAGGAAGGTGTGGACCTGAGGGAGATTGAACAGGAAGTTTGAAAATGGAGCAAAGAAACTGCACGTGAGCCCCTTAGGATGACAGAGTGTGTCCCCTGGGCTGAGGGCTCAGTCCCTGTGATGTGTCGGGGCCAGGCCTGGAATTGAACCATGACGTCCACAGTCACAGATGATGGGAGACATCGTTTCCCCTTCAAGAACAGAAAGTCCTCTGTTGTGAGGGTCTCAACCTCTCCATAGCCAGTGTGGAGATCGGACCCGCCCTTATGATTCTGGAGACGATTGCCCTAGGTCCTTCAGCTACAACACCAGATACTTTGAAAACAAAGGTGGATTACTTATAAACCTATAAATTATACCACACACCTGGGGCCATACACAGAGGTCATCGTAGAGACAGAGCGAGCCTGTGGCCTCCCCACCAGGAGTGAGGACAGAAGCTCTGCTGACAGAGAAGGAGTTGGGTTGAGAGACATCACAGAAAAATAACACAAATATTTGATTTTTCTATACTTTTTAGACATTTCAAATGGATCTGGTGTTGACCAGCAGGCTCTTACCATGGAGACAGTCCACAGGGAGTTACCAGTGATGGAAGGGTCACTTTTTTTTTAATAGTAAATTTATTTTTTATTGGTGTTCAATTTGCCAACATACAGAATAACACCCAGTGCTCATCACGTCAAGTGCCCCCCTCAGCGCCCCTCACCCATTCACCCCCACCCCGCCCTCTTCCCCTTCCACCACCCCCTAGTTGCACCCTTATGCTTTTGGGTGCAATAGTAAATGGGATTGACTCCTTAATTTCCTTTCTTCACTCTCATTGTTACTGTAGAGAATTGCCACTGATTTTGGGGGCATTGGTTTTGTATCTTGCCACAATGCCAAATTCCTGTATGAGTTCTAGCAATCTTGGGGTGGAGTTTTTTGGGTTTTCTATGGACAATCATGTCATCTGGGAAGAGGGAGAGTTTGACTTCTTCTTTGCCAATCTGAATGTCTTCTATTTCTTTTTTTTTTTTTTTGCCTGATTGCTGAGGCTATGATTGTTAGTACTATGTTCAATAGCAGTGGTGAGAGTGGACATCCCTGTAGTGTTCCTGATATTAGGGGAAAGGCTCTCATTTTTTCCCCATTGAGAATGATATTTGCTATTTTCATTCATAGATGGCTTTTAAGATGCTGAGGAATGTACCCTCTATCCCTACACTCTGAAGAGTTTGGATCAGGAATGGATGCATTTTGTCAAATGCTTTCTCTGCATCTATTGAGAGGATCATATGGTTTTGTTATTTCTCTTGTTGATATGATCTATCTCCTTGATTGTATTATGAGTGTTTTTTTAATAAATTAATTTTTATTGTTCAATTTACCAACATACAGAATAACACCCAGTGCTCATCCCGTCAAGTGTCCCCCTCAGTGCCCGTCACCCACTCACCCCCACCCCCCGCCCACATCCCCTTCCACCACCCCTAGTTCGTTTCCCAGAGTTAGGAGTCTTTATGTTCTGTCTCCCTTTCTGATATTTCCCACACATTTCTTCTCCCTTCCCTTATATTCCCTTTCACTATTATTCATATTCCCCAAATGAATGAGAACATACACTGTTTGTCCTTCTCCGATTGACTTACTTCACTCAGCATAATACCCTCCAGTTCCATCCACGTTGAAGCAAATGGTGGGTATTTGTCGTTTCTAATGGCTGAGTAATATTCCATTGTATACATAAACCACATCTTCTTTATCCATTCATCTTTCGATGGGCACCGAGGCTCCTTCCACAGTTTGGCTATTGTGGACATGGCTGCTAGAAACATCGGGGTGCAGGGGTCCCGGCATTTCATTGCATCTGAATCTTTGGGGTAAATCACCAGCAATGCAATTGCTGGGTCATAGGGCAGGTCTATTTTTAACTCTTTGAGGAACCTCCACACAGTTTTCCAGAGTGGCTGCACCAGTTCACATTCCCACCAACAGTGTAAGAGGGTTCCCTTTTCTCCGCATCCTCTCCAACATTTGTGGTTTCCTGCCTTGTTAATGTTCCCCATTCTCACTGGTGTGAGGTGGTATCTCATTGTGGTTTTGATTTGTATTTCCCTGATGGCAAGTGATGCAGGGCATTTCCTCATGTGCTTGTTGGCCATGACTGTCTTCCTCTGTGAGATTTCTCTTCATGTCTTTTGCCCATTTCATGATTGGATTGTTTGTTTCTTTGCTGTTGAGTTTAAGAAGTTCTTTATAGATTTTGGAAACTAGCCCTTTATCTGATATGTTATTTGCAAATATCTTCTCCCATTCTGTAGGTTGTCTTTTAGTTTTGTTGACTGTATCCTTTGCTGTGCAAAAGCTTCTTATCTTGATGAAGTCCCAATAGTTCATTTTTGCTTTTGTTTCTTTTGCTTTCGTGGATGTATCTTGCAAGAAGTTACTGTGGCCAAGTTCAAAAAGGGTGTTGCCTATGTTCTCCTCTAGGATTTTGATGGAATCTTGTCTCACATTTAGACAAGATTGAGTGTTGAACCAACCTTGAAACCCAGGTATAAGTCCTACTTGATCATTTTGAATAATATTCTTAATGTATGTTGGAGCCTATTGGCTAGTATCTTGTTGAGAATTTATGCATTCATGTTCATCAGGGATATTGGTCTATAATTCTCCTTTTTGGTAGGGTCACCCTTTTGGTAGGGTCTGGTTTTGAAAATACGGTGATGCTGGCCTCATAAAATGAGTTTGGAAGTATTCCTTCCCTTTCTATCCTTCAGAACAACTTTAGTATAATAGGTATTATTTCTTCTTTAAATGTTTGATAGAATTCCCCAGGGAAATCATCTGGCCCTCGACTTTTGTGTCTTGGGAGGTTTTTGATGACTGCTTCAATTTCCTCCCCGGTTATTGGCCTGCTCAGGTTTTCTGTTTCTTCTAGTTTCAGTTTTGGTATTTTTTGGTTTTCCAGAAATGCATCCATTTCTTCTAGATTGCATAATTTTGGGTGTATAGCTGTACATAATACATTTTTAAAATCATTTATATTTCCTTGTTATTGGTTGTGATCTCTCCTCTTTCATTTATAATTTTAATTTGCTTGATTCTTTTCTCTTGCCCTTTTAATAGGCTGCCTATTACTTTATCTATCTTATTAATTCTTTCAAAGAACCAACTCCTGATTTTTTGACCTGCTCTATAGTTCTTCTGGTCTCTATTTCACCACGTTCTGATCGAATCTTTATTATCTCTCTTTTTCTGCATGGTATGGGTCTTATTTGCTGTTCTATCTCCAGTGCCTTTTGTGTGATGTTCGCATGTGTATTTGAGTTTGTTTTTTTTTCCAATTTTTTGACGGATGCTTGTATTGTGATGTATTTCTCCCTCAAGACTGATTTTGCTCTATCCCAAAGATTTTGAACACTTGTATCTTCATTTTCATTAGTTTCAATGAATCTTTTTCATTCTTCTCTAATTTTCTGATTGACCCATTCATCTTTTAGTAGGATGCTCTTTAACCTCCAGGAGTTTCAGTTTCTTCCAAATTTCTTCTTGTGATTGAGTTCTGGTTTCAAAGCATTGTGGTCTGAAAATATGCAGAAGGCAATCCCTATTATTTGGTCTCCGTTGAGACCTAATGTGACCCAGTATGTGGTCTATTCTGGAGAAAGTCCATGTGCATTTGAGGAGAATGTATATTCAGTTGCATTTGGATGCAAAGTTCAGTGTACATCTGTGAAATCCATCTGGTCCAGTGTATAATTTAAGGCCCTTGTTTCTTTGGTGATGTGCCTAGAAGATCTGTATTTTACAGAAAGTGCCCTATCAAGGCCTCATTCTATTAGCATATTATTATCTAAGTATATCTTTACTTGGATTATTAATTGATTGATATACTTGGTAGCTTCCACAATAGGGGCA